TGCCTGTTTGGAGTATTTGGGGGGTTCTCAGGGTCGGTAACCAGATGGGCAGGGTCTGAGCTGAGACGGACAGGGGCTGAGCTGAGACGGGCATGCGCTGAGCTGGGCCGAGGCTGGGCAGGACTGGACAGGGCAGGGTGAGTTGAGGTGGGCAGGGCTGGGCAGGGACGGACGACGATGCGATGAGGCAAGCGCGTGGTAACCTCGGCGGCCGTGGCCGCCTTGGCCATGTGTTCGTCGTCGTTGCCGGATTCGGGGGCGGGTCCGACCAGGCGGATTTGTTTGTTTGGGGATGTTTCGGGTTGGGGTATTCTTGGTCAGGCAATTTGTGGTCAGCGTCCGTCCGAGAGAAAGGGGCGAGTTTTCGGGCGGACGAAAACCAGCAATTGCTTGAAAGATTACCAACAAATTGTCCGACTTCAACAAGATAAGTGGGACAGCTTTTGCCTCTCTGACCAGAAATGATGATGGGTTGGCCAAAGATGTCCGGGAAGCTCTCGGACATGACCGTGACCAAAAGTAGCTGACCACAAGTAACCAAGAATCGGTCCAACCGACAAAAAAAACACAATCGGACAGCATTCCCCCAGCCTGACCGAATAAATACGAATAATCGGTCCGACCTAAAAAAAAAAAAAAGGACAGCGCGCCCCCTGCCGTTGCGACGCTGTCCGACCAGAAAAAAACAGTCGGACAGCGCACCCCCCCTCCCGCTGCGATGCTGCCCGACCGAAAAAGTCAGTCGGACAGCCGTTGCGACCAGTCCGACTGAAAAAACCAGTCAGACAGCGCACCCCCGCCGTTGCGACGATGTCTGACAGATAAAAAAAAAGTCGGACAGCCGCTGCGACGCTGACCGATCGAAAAAAATGGATCGGACAGCGCACCCCCGCCGCTGCGACGCTGTCCGACCGAAAAACAACAGTCGCATGCTGCCCAGTCCCCCGCCGCTGCCTCTGGGCGCGATTCGCGTTGGGGCCGTCCTGGAAGCTCCTTGGACGGCCCTTCGACGCCGTTGCCTCGCCGCCGACGGTCCGTGATTGTCGCGTCGCGCATCCCAACCCCATTCAGAAACAGTGCACAGGCGAGTTGTCGGGAGAAGGGAGGTGCATAAGCGCATGTTGAACGAACCGCTTTAAACATCGTGGAGGCCTCTTGGACTCGTGGTGGAACTCTCTTGGGGCCTGTTTAGGAGTCATTGGGGTCTTCTTGAGGCTTTCTTGAGGCCCTCTTGGGGCGCGGGGCCTCTTGGGGGAGTTCTGTAGGCCATCCATCAGAAAAGAGTGCGCAGCCGATTTGTCAGGCGATCGCAAACATGGATTAAGGGGGCGTGGAGAAGCGCCGGGCCCCGTTTCCATGGGAGATCGCGGATTTCCGCCGCCGAGCGAGGCGGCACCGGCCGCATTTTGGGGAGGGCACCTCCCCCGATCCATGGATTTGGCGACTGCGCGCCAAATCCATGGATCGCTAATCCATGATTTCGCGCTCCCGAATTCGGATCACCCCTTATGGAGCCCACATGATCGCCTTTGGGAGCCCCCTCGGGTCGTTCTTGGGCGTTTGCGGGGCCGTGCTGAATCCATCCTGGGGCTCTCTCGAGCTATATAGAAGTCGGGCCTGTCCCTCTACAGGGGGAATATTCAAAGATAGTCCAAAAATAGTCTGGCGACGATTCTTCTACGATTTGGAGTATTTTTGGCGTATGTTGGTGGTGTTTTGGATGTATGTTTAATTCTTCGTCCAAACTCCGCCTGGAGGGGGACATGCCCGACCTAAAGCTATATCTCGAGGCCTCAGAGGCCCGTCAGAAGCGAAGGGGTGAGAAGCCCAACCACATCAAATGATTGTTTTACGAATCTGAATGAGTTGTGCCTTTCGGGTGTTTCCTTGGGACGCTCCGTGACCACTTGGAGCCATTTTGGACTGATATTGGGGCCGCTCGGGGGCATGTTTGAGGGCATGTTGAGCCATTTTGGGTAATCTTGAGCCGTTTCGTAGGCCACCTTGGACTATTGATGCCCTCGGACTTTCTGACTGCGCGCGCTCCCCCGTCCAGACCCTGGTGCGGGGGCGCGGGGGGGCAGAAGCCCCCCCTCGAAGGGGAAGAAGGAGGTCGAAAGAAGAGCAGATCTAGACCTTGTACGCCCCAAGGGCTGATGGGAGTTCCCCCGCCCGGGCTCCTCGTCGATTCGGTGTCTGAGCCGTCGATCATCAACAGGAATGCGCTGCAGATTAGCCGTCCCATGGCGTCTGCATCCGACGGGGCCTCTGAGTGCAGGTCACGAAGGGGCGGGGGAAGACGGTCTGGCGAGGGGGCGCAAACAGTCGCGGGGGGCGGCGCGGACAAGAGGTCGCGGGCGAAACGGGCGAGCGAGGGATGAAGGCGAGCAGAATGGAGTGGAGAATGGCTAGAAGTTCCTCAAACGGTAACTGAAAAAGCAGAGGGCGCGCCAAGAACGCGCACGTGCGAAGACGTGCCCCTCTCAGGCGCGTCCTCCCCAAAGTCCGCCGATCCCCGAATCGGAAGTGTCGGATGGAAATATGCCGACCTCTGCGCCCAGTGGCAAGTCACGCACAGTCTGCAGCCGGGCCCTTATAGGTCGAAACGCATAGTGCGGCAATTGGGCTGATTGGATCAGGCAGCACGTCTACGCCCGAGCCAATCTCATGCGTCGGCAGGGTCGGGCTGCGCGGCCTCGCGCTCAGAGTGCAGCAGCTGTAATGGTGCCGCAGCGTGCGCATGGAGCGCAGCGGATTCTCCGTCCAGTTTTGGGCCAGGCAGGAGCGCTGACAGTCTGGTCTCCACGTCGCTTAGCTGGCCCTGGATGTCCGCGCCGGGCGTCGTAATGGTGGGTGCGCTGGTCGCGTCGCCCTTGCACATGAAATCCATACCAATCGTCGCTTCCAGATCTCAGGATCGAGCAAGTAATCCATTGACGCCGCTCGAGCGTCTCGGACGTCGCTCTCTGCGTAGAGCCCGACAAATTCAGAGTCGACAGCCCTCGTCCACACGGGATCGGGCTGGTCGATCTCGGCGGGCCCGAATGGATCTCGAACTGGTATCCTGGTTGACGGTGTCGTCCACCTCGTCTCAGGAGCCGGGCGAAGGCTGGCAAACCCGTGGTTGCTAAAACAGAGCTCCAGGAAGTTGTTTTCTTCCGCGAAGCAGCCCGTTTATTATTGAGTGCGCTGAGCTTGATTCCGGGAAATTGTTTATTATTCCGGGAAGATTTTTAATCAGCCACGGATTTGCCAGCCCTCGCCCAGCTTCCAGTCGTCGTTGGTGGCCTGTACCATAGTCGTCGCGCGCTGGACGGAAGTCTGCACCGCTACCCGTGGCCGACAATGTCGTCCACCTTGCTGCTGATGGCCTCCCCGTGGGCCATGGCCGTCACGCAGCGGCCAGAACCTTGCACCACCTGCTCCAGCTCCTGGGAATATGCTCGGAGTGGCGTCTCGAAGTACCTCGCAACGGCGGCGCAGATGTGACGCCTGGGGCGGGTCTGTGCCGGCGTTCATGTTGCGAGGTCCGACTGCATGTGTGTCGCCCAGGTGTTCTGTCCGGGCGCAAAAAAGGGAGTATGCTGATCATGTTGCCTATACGGTCACGTTTGGACCGCCAGGTGGTTGCCAGTCCAGGTGCGCAAGGGCGAACGTCACGTCGGCGGTTGGCGCGCCACTGCAGATGCCCAGCGCCGCCTCCAACTGCTCCACGCGCCCCTTCAAACGCTGGATGAGGTCGATCAGCAGGCCGTCCAAAGTGCCGATCGGATGGCTCCATGTCGGCGCAGCCTGTAGCAGTGTTGTGCGCATTTGCTTTGGATCTTCACCAACTCGGTGGTCACTTCGAACGCCGTGTCAAAATCGAAGATTGTCGCCAGGGAGCTGTCTCCAAGCCACTGACCTGCGTCGAGGGAGGCTCCATCCACTGACGCCACAGACGTCGCTGCCACCTCGGGGGGATGCTGGATCTGCTTTGGGGTCGTCCCGAGCGCGTCGGATTCGGATTCACCTCTAGACACTAAGCATTGACGCTGACTTCGCTGAACTTCCTAGTCTGCCTTCCGTCCCCGCTGGAGTCAGTACCTTGTGCGGCATCCTTCACTCCCCCCCGCGGATGGCCCCATCTCGCTGTTTACTATTCCCCTTTCTCCCATTTGGTGCACATGCATGCGTGCACGTGGGACCATTTGCATGTGTTGCAACGCGCTATCATGGTAGCGCCAGCTGGATGCATGCGCGTATACTTACATTAAGAAAGAGACATATGGGAGGATGGGCAAATTTGCCCACGCGCATCCTGAAATCTAGGAGTGTGTGGTAGGTGTATTGATCGTAAGATTCAGGTGTTGACAATGATTGTACATGTTGGATAATATGCGGTTTATATTATGTTGTTTATTGAATGTGTTGTTCACCGTTTGTGTATAGTTCCAGTTTTTCTTTGGATATTTGGTAATGTGTGTATTGGAGGTTTCGGTATTGCTGTTTGGAGCTATGGTCACAACATGTATACGAAGCGTGGGCCCGGTCAGCTTGCGGAGCTGATGTGGGGATGGGCTGACCGTATCCGCAAGAACAGTATATTGCCTTTTACCTTGCAGATCACGGCACCCAGCGCAGCCCCTCTGGCAGCACGACAGGGGCGTTTACCTTCGACCACGAGTGTTTGTCGCGGCTGGAGTCCGCCTGACCCGCAGCCGCAGGGCTGGTCTTCATGGCGCAGACGGGCAGCTTCATGTACGACGTCCACACACCCTAGAACGATTCCGACTTCAGCATCATCTTTGTTTTGCCGATTGACCAGCTCGTTGCGCGTGGAGTTTCACTACCACGCGGAAGGCCTTTTCGGCTCAGACAAGTCGGGGGAGGTGGAGTAAAGCGGGAGCGAGCTGGGTTCTTTCTTGTTGGATTTGGCCAAAGGCCACCCGCGCAACGCGGAATTTCTCTTCACGGAGACGCCGCACCAGTTCGGCGCGTTGTGGAGCGAATTGCGCGCCATGTGCCAGGGATTTCTCACGCTGCGCTGCGTCAAGCAGTACCTTTTGCTTCGTCGTGGAGAAGATCGCAAGGCCACGGCCTTCTCCGAGGAGGGAGCGGGATCCGGCTTCATCGCCGAGCCTGGCAGGAATATCTCGAAGAGCCTCTACCGGGGACACCACAAGCTCTACGAGCTGGAGCGCTTGCTGCGTGGCGAGAGACTGGTGGTTGCTCTGGTTGGGGAGGAGCGAGGCTCTGTGCTGCAGCTGCGCTCCCGGCCGTCCAGCAGCTTGGGGGAACCGCGCGCGCTCCTCGTGGAGACGGAGGCGTGGCTGCAGCCCCTCCGCGGCAGGGCGAGGGAGGCCGAGGCCACCGCAGCGTTGCTTGCCAAGGTGGATGCGCCCGCCTTGTGTGGCTGGCTGCGCGGTGTCAGGGAGCGGCTTGCGCAGCAGGCCGCCGCGGGCGCCCCTTGGTGACTGCAGGCTCCCAGCGAGGTCCTGGCTGGCACAGCCCAGAGGGCGTGACAACATGCGCAGCGGATCGCTTGGTGTGTTTGGCTCACGTGGCCTCCGTCGGTTCGAAGATGTAGCTCTTCGCATTGCCCTAGCCGGTTAGATTCCAGCCGTCGTTGTTCTATCAACGCTCAGTGTTGGCGTTTATCATCGTTTGGTGTCCTCGGCGAAGCGGCAAGTACAGCGCCAAGGGCTTGTTGTAGAAAGAAGTCCACCTCCCCCATCGGGCTCCCCGGGACCCCCGGCTCCAGAAGTAGACCGGCACACCATGAGGACGAAGAAGTAGAGGAGGAGGGAGGATACAGCGCGAAGGGGCGGGCAGATTGAAGGCATCGGTGCAGGGGAGCCATGGGAGAGGGCGACCCATGAAACAAGGGTTGCATTGCGGGACAGCGCCGAGGTGATGGGCATGTTGGAGATCGAGACGGTGGAAGGCCAGAGAGGCTATGTAAGCATGAGTTGTCGGAGGTCCGCTCAAGTTTCTGGGGCCAGCGCGGGAGCCCCCATCCCCACCCCCGCTCCTCGGCGCGCGGAGCGCGCCGGGGACAGCGTCGGAGGCGCCGCCAGGGGTGTATGCAGGGGCACGCAGACCTCCGAAGTATGATGCTGCTCGCTCCTCTGAAGGAGGGAGGCATCGGTCTCGGTAGGATGCGGCTCGCTGCCAGTTCGAAGTGCCGATGATGCAATCAGCCTAGTGGGAGGAGAGACGGACAAATGGGTCCCATCCGCTTCGGACGGGCCCCGATCGAAGAGGGAGCTTGGAACAGGGCCGAGTCCTAGGGCAGCTCTGCGTCTCTTCCACACACGCTGCTCGGCCTGCTCCCTCTTATTCTGAGTCTAGCTGTCTCAATTCAGGAGTCAAGGTAAGGACAGGCGGGGAAGGAGGTGGAGGGGGGAGGAAGAGGGGGGAGGGGGACGTGCACCTCCACCATCTGCCCCCCCCCATCGCCCCTCCTGGGCTCAACCGGCGTTGCCCGACTGCGCCTGCAGCAGGCGCATGGTCGTGGAGGTGGGCGACGGGGGGCCGGGCGCATTGCGGGACGAGCTGCAGCTTCACCTCAGGTGGGGGGGCAGGCGCACCGTTTCACTTCTCGCAGCCTTTTTGTTGCGCGGGGCCAATGTTAATGATCGAGCCACCGCGCCATACCACTGGTCAGAGAAAGAAGGCCGACCTGGGCGGGGTGGCCTTCGTGACAACATGGCCGATGCAACAGCATGCAGTGCATTGACCACAGGTAAGGAACATGGAACGGGCGCGAGAAGATTCTCACACGCTGCTCTTCCCCCCCCCCCCTCCTGGCCCCTCTCCCGCTCCCGGCCCCCGCCTTCTTCTTGCTGGCCACGCTCCTTCCGGCCATTCACCATCTCTTGCCCTCGGGGGCTTCCGCCCCGCCTCGCGGGGCCCCCTCTCCAGCACGCCTGCGGTGGGGAAGTGAGGAGAAGGTTGGGAAGCTTTGCGGAGGCAAGGTGAGGAACCTTGCGGAAACCCAGGTGATGCAAGGCATGCTGGGAAGCGTTGTGGACGCAATGCGAGGCCCATGGGGAAGCCCAGGAGAAATCCGGATGAGGCAAGGCTGAGAAGCCTTGTGGAGCCCAGGGGCAGCACGACCGCCGTGCTTCCCCCAGAGATCGGGAGTATGGTGGTGCTGGGGCTCCGACGGACCTCCTGTGGGTCGGGCTCCGCTCGAGATGGCACTATTCGGAGAGGTGGCGCCGCGAAGTGGGATGCAAGAGCGGGCATGCGAAGGTTGAGAATTCACCACAGCATACCAGGAAGTTGGATACACATGGCGCGGCTGGCCTGGGCGAGAGCTGGATAACTACGCTTGTGGCCAGACATGTCTGTTGCATTATTGAGTGTCGTTTGAGTTTTTATGTATCTGTTGATCCCCCACACGGGTCTTGTGTTCCGCATTTTCTGTTGGCCAGTTGGGTACCTGTGGGTTCTGCTTCGTGTGCCCCCCCACTGGCCCAGATTGTCGCCCAGCATAGGTTGCAACCCGCTGGTTGCACAGAGGCAACGTTTTGGGTCCACGTGCTGGCATCATGGCATCACATGTGTGCGTGTCATGCCGTCATGGGGGCTCAGCACTTCCGTCCTTCAATCCTCACTCCACCCCATGGCGAGCACATAGCATGTACGCCGCAGCACTCACGTCGCCTATCGCAAGACAACTTACACTCTCAGGGCACACTGCATGAGATTTGGGCCTACGTATGCTGTACATCCCTTGCTTTGTTTGCACTTCTGCTGGAAAAGGACCAGGAATTGAAGTCACAGGGGATTGCTGCTCCGTGTAGCCCCCTCCCGCGCCAGACGCCGGGAGAACTTTTCCTCTGCCGATGGTACGTCGAGGTTCCCTTGCCCGACTGGGAGAGCCGATGTTGGAAGGGACAGATAGAGGTGCTGGTGAAACATGGAAGCGCTGTCTGTCTGAAAGATTGTGTGGGGGAGCGTAGAAGCATGCAGCAAAGACAGTAGCAAGCCATCGGGCCCCACCAAATGGACTGGAGTCTGCGCCATTCTGCAGCACGGACACCCGCCGTTGCATTCAAATGACCAGGAAGAGGGGCAGCAGAGTAGAAGCTCGGAACTCATTGTGATGCGAGATGTTGTACCGCCTTCGACCCTCTTCGATCCACCTACCTTCAAGCCAACCCCGCTCAATTCTTGTAGCGGGCTGAAGAGGATGCTTCATGCAGCGACGTCAACGAGACGCCTTGTTTTGAGGCCGAGTGGCACATCCCAGGTGCCATTGGCGCACCAAGGCAGAATTTGCGGGCTCTGACACTCTCTGGCTGGAAATGGTTGCAACGGCAATATGGCCGACTCGTGAAGGTTTTGGATATCTCGGCATTGTCCTCCCTTGGGGGGGGGGGGGGGGGCATTTTTATTATCGCCGTGCTTCAACACCAAAATGCAGGTGAATGCAGACAGGAATTGAAGGAGATTGGGGAGGAGGAGGTTCTGATCCGAATTAACCCCTCGCGTAAGGCTCACTGGCTGGGTCACGAAGAGCAAGCAGTACCGCTACGAGACGCCAGCCTGAGTCAGCACCATCTGATTGCGCAGATGTGCATGATCGAGGATCCGGATCACGGTGGTATGAGAAGAATATGAAGGAATGATCATGAGGATGATTAGGTCGTTGAGCCCCCCCCCACAACAACAAAAAAAACATGCCGAATTTAGTTTCATTTCAGTTACATTACAAAAAAAAAAAACGGGAGTATTTGCCAACGTTCTCCTCTACGAGAGCGTTGCAATAGTTGATGTCTGCATTGAGTACGAATAGCCGACGTGATGGGTCGATGGGTATGGTTCGCGTTTGGCCAAGATCTGTGTCGTCTGGAGCACGTGGTCAGTAGCGCTGGTCACCACGCTCGCCACGTCGCGAGGTAGCATTTCGGCACCAACTTGCGGGCCCATGGGTGCCGAGAGTCGTAAAGGTACCTTGCATATTCGGGTGATCTTTCCTTTCCAATGAATTGTAGCCTTTTCTCGTATCCGCCGTGGGGTCGACGTTGACTCGACGCGCATTCGACGTGGATTTCACGCCGACTCGACTTGGGTTCGAAAATTCGACGTGGACTTGACGATAGTAAAGACGCGATGGGACAGACAAGGTCCCTCGAAGGTGCGACATGAGTAAAAAAAGATGGTGTCGGTATGCTCAGCAAGATCGGGCATTCCCCGCTGGAACGCGCCAGGCGCAGGCAGGCCGCGCGCACGCGAGGGTGCGACCCTCGCACTGCCCGGCACAGCAGCGCCCACTGGCACGCCGGAAAGGATTTCGCCGTGCGATGTTTTAGCTTGCATGTTAGCACCGCATATACATAATCAACAATGAGCAGATATGCTCGGAGAAGGGCACGGATTTCTGAACTCGTCGCTGAACCCCTCTGGCGTCGCTTGCAGCGAAGCCGTTGGCGTGCTTCGCGCGCCAGGGAGCGGGGTCCAGCGCTGGTCACAGAAATCCGCATGGACCTCCGAAAGTGCATGTGTGTGCAATGCTTCTTCTTCTTCCTCTATATGGCAGTGTGGCTTGAGAGCGTGGCTGTCGCCGGGGAGGAAGCAGGAGCAGCAGCAGCAAGAGGACAACGGGCTGAGGAGGAGGAAGTGGTGGAGCGGATGAAAGAGGCGCAGAAGGAGGAGGAGGAGAAGGAGCAGGAAGATGATGACGTTGACGAAAAGAAGAAGGAGGAGGAGGAGGAGGAGGAGAGAGGGGAAGAGGAAGCGAGAGGTGGATGAGAAGGCGAGAGAGAAGAGGAGTAGGAGGAGGAGGAGGAGGAGGAGGAAGACAACAAAATGAGGACTGTGTATTAAGAGGAGGAAGAGGAGAAGGAGGAGCAAGGCGATGACCAGCAGAAGAACGACGACGCCAAAGGTTTCCGCAGAAGGGTCTCAAGGTGTCAGGGGTGCGCTGAGGACATTTGGAGTTCGTCCTTGCACGAATGAGTACCGATTCTGCGGGCCGGCGCCAACCTCCAGGTCGAGAAGGGGGGCCGTTGGTGACAGTGCGGGCGGGGTGAGAAGAGGCGTTGCGGCTGGACGCGTAGTATATGCGGTCCCGGGTGTGGGGGAAGGGGCGGCGAGGAGAACCCGCGTGGCCTGGACACCAAGGACGCTGCGAACCAGGACGTTGCCAGATCGGACAGGAGACCACGCAGCATGGAGAACGTTTCGACCAACGGCTACAATTTTCTCGGGCGTGCCAACTTCATGATTTATCAAAAAGGCCCTCGCTTGCGAGGACTCGAGGTCCTCAAAGACTTCGTTGCGCGCCGATCAAATTTGGCCGATGCCCTGGGACAGGCCGACGAAAGCTGTTTGAATCTCTCGCAGGCCTTCAAGTAATGGCCCTGTGTGTCCCGCTCAGAGACATCTCATGTCTGCCTTGGGAGAGGGTCGGCCTGCAAGACAAGAGCTTTCCGGGGAGAGTCGCCACAGCAGTTCTTGTTGCGGTCACAACGGCCGACCTCGCAGTTGGGAGCCAAGCGGGAACGTTCAGGAATTCGCCCTCCAGAAATTCAGATAAAGCCAGACGGATTGGCCAACCTGTGCATTCAAATGTCTTCTCCGTCGATGTTTGCGCAAGACGAGAGGAGAAGATTGCTTGAGCCACCAGATAGTTTCGTTTGATGTGTCGAGACTGTTTTGTAGACTAGCCAGCTCACGAATTCTCTTGTTATCAATCGATACTGCCGCAGCCCATCGCACGGAGGGACGCGGAAGTATATTACGAAGGCCGTACGGCCGATGCCGCCGACCCTGAAGGGGGACGACGACGACGACGACGACGACGACGACGACGACGACGACGACGACGACGACGACGCTGAGGCTCTGGAGCCCTTCGTGGGAGCCTCTTGGGCCCTGTTGGGGGGCCTGTTGGGGAACTTCGTGGGAAGCTCCGTGGTCACTTGGAGCCGCCTTGGGCGGATCTGAGGCCCTGCGGAGGCATGTAGGAAAATACGCAGTGCCCCGCAACAGCAGATAAGAGTGAGGAGGGTGCCTCCCAGGAGGGGTCCAGGAGGGGGGGGTCCCCCTGTCCCCTGTCCACAGGGGGTCCACATGGTGGAACAGGGGGAGCTGCCCTTGTTTTCCTCTTCCACAGAGGGGGGGAGGGGGGGTCCTGAGATCCCCCAGTCCACAGGACGGAGGGACGCGGAAGGATATTTTGTGCCGCCGGCGGATTGATTACAGGAGGCGTCACGGGACGCAGGGCAGCAGCTAAAGAACAAGCGAATCGATGACCGGATCGCGTAGCCCAGGAGAAGCGCATATCAGTTCGCAGGATTGTTTGCCGCAGTCTGATTCGGCTTGCTGGTCTCGCGTCGGCCCGATTCGATCATGTAGAGCCCGTTGGGCGAGCCCTCGGAGCCCTTTTCGGTCATGTAGAGGGAGCTGGGCGCCGCACGGTAGCCATTTGGGCTCAGGCCAGTGAGTTCAGAGCCGCGATCGTGCCAGGGCTTTGGCTCTAGCCCTCTCGCGAGCCATGGGAAGTGCCTCGATGTCCCCGATGATGGCCGCGGGCAGCTCCTTGTGCCTGTGCCTCTCCATGATGCTCTGCTGCCTGCTGCCGATCATCATCCTCGCGTCGATGTCGATGCCGGGCTGCCCAGAGGACTGCGCGGTGGAGGGCGTAAGTTGCCGGGACGAGCCGTCCAGGGAGGCGTTGTGCCAGGATATCGAGAGGTATTCTTTCGGTTCTTTCTACCAGGCTCACTTCTTCAATTTCATGAGCTCCGGCGGGTATGGAAACATCAGCGAGTACACCGAGATCAACCGGATGGCGGGAAGACACATCGAATACCTATTTATGTTCTCCGCCTTGCTCGGCAAGTTGTGGATGGTGCTATGGTTCTTGGGCACGGTCTTCTACCTGTTCCCCAAGGCCCGTGACGAAGAGAGCACCGCTTTCACGTCGCCGCCGAGCACCATGGGAAAGTCGTACCCGCAGGGCGACGTGGCCTAGCGGGCAGAGCGTTGAGGCGGGGGACCTCTTGATGGAGATCGACCGATACGCGACATCAGCCAGCCGAGTGAGCGATGCCACGCTGCCTTGGTAGACGCGTCGCGGTCAAGGTGTTCTGTATTGTACATAGGCGAGCCACGCAGAAATTGGCAGACCGTCTCGCTGCTGTCCAGGTGGGCACCATGATTGTGACACCCCCTGTGCGGAGGAAGTCCACGGAAAGACAGACCGTAGGCGAGTTTGAATACGTGTGGGCCAATTCTGGTTCTAAGGATTTGGGCCGCGTGTTTTTCTTAAGGAGGCTTGATGCGCACGGCAGCTCTGTAGGACCGGACGACTGACGTACGGGAGATGCTGTCGACCGTCAAAGCAAACAAAAGGGGGGCGGGCACCGCACTCTGGTTTCCGTTGACCGTTGCCCCACCACATGGCGCCGATGCCCTCCTGGCCGCTTTGGCCGGCATGGCCCCTGCGGTGGCCTTCGTAGTTGCCTTGGCCGTTGTGGCCGCCCCTGCTTGCTGCCTGCAACGCAGACTGCCTTGCAAGTTGCGCAGCAACGCCGCAGCGTGGCATGGCCCGTGGCGCTGCGTGGAGCTCTCCACGGAGGGCCTCCGTCTTCGACTGATCCAGAACCTGGCCTCTCGTTTTCGGCGGAAGTGCTGGCGGAAGCCGGCGGAAATGGAACGAGGGTTGCTCCGCGCGGAGGGTCTGCGGAAGTTGGCGCAAGCAAAACATGCAACTTTCTGGGATGACATGTTTCCCCAACCACCTTGTGGTGTTGGATCTTCGTTTTGAAGGCAGCGCTCCGCGTCCTTCCTCCTCCTCCTCCTCCTCCTCCTCTCCCCTCCTCCTCCTCCTCCCCCTCCTCTCGCATCCCACACCTGCCTCTGCCCTACACATGCCCATTTCGGCACACACCTAACACGCTTCGTGACCCCATAGGGAGCTCCACCAAAGGCCCCAGTGGCCACGTCCACATGCGGCCGCCCTACTAATCTCGACACACCCCTCTCACGCTTCGTGGCCCCATAGGGAGCTCCACCGAAGGCCCTAGTGGCGGTGTCCACATGCGGGCGCCCCACCCATTGTGGCACACCCTTCACACTTGGGGTGGCCCTTGGGGCGGCTCCACCAAAGGCCCCAGTGGCCACGTTCACATGCGGTCGCCCCACCCATGTCGGCACACCCCATAGGGAGGAGCTCCACCGAAGGCCCCAGTGGCCACGCCCACATGCGGCGCCCCACCCATGTCCGCACACCCCTCACACGTTTCGTGGCCCAACAGGGAGCTCCACCGAAGGCCCCAGTTGCCATGTCCACATGCGGCCGCCCCACCCATGTCGACACACCCCTCACACGTTGTGTGGCCCCCTAGGGAGCTCCACCGAAGGCCTCAGTGGCCATGTCCACATGCGGTCGCCCCACCCATTTCGGCACACGTTTCACACGCTTCGTGGCCCCATACGAAGCTCCACCGAAGGCCCCAGTTGCCATGTCCACACGCAGCCGCCCCACCCATGTCGACACACCCCTCATACGTTGTGTGGCCCCAGAGGGAGCTCCACCGAAGG